CTCGCCAAGGGGGAGGGGGTCGCATTTGGTACTGGCCTCATTGTAGTTTTGCACCCGCGCTAAATACCCAACAGGGTATCGCACCACTGGTAGAATACCATGAGGAGTTCGTATCGGATCGCTGGCGAGGCTGGTCGTTCTTGATCTGGACGTTTTTCCAGACTGTGATTTTTCCCGTTTCACGTACATCTTCGAGTGTATAACAATAGGGAGGGGTCGTATTTGCTGTGCTTAAGTCGGATGGGACGGTCGTACAAGGGGGGAGTTGAGGAGGGTTGCACTGACACCGCCATACAAGGACACTGAATCCTAATAATGGCAGGTGCGGTTTTTTTTATTTTCGATCGTTGACTGAAGGAAAGGATCCCTCCAGCGGTTTGATGGACGGTGGGGGAGGGCGGGTCGCTCATTTCCTTGGTGCTACGGTTCCTCTCAGGCGATGCTCTTCACCGACCCGCATCCAGATCGGGAACATTTCTAGTCCACACGAGAAAACGAAAGGAAAACGTTTTCATGAAGCTGGGACGCACATGCTAGAAAATACTTCTGGATAGTATAGACGACAGAGGGATAGGTGCACACATGCAGTACTTGCAGTACAATGGACTTACCGTCACATCGCATTCCGTCACCAATATATCCGATCTTACAGGTGCAAAAGTGGCGTCCTGGACGTACGTCGATACATTCAGCGTTCACATCGCAGTTATTCTTGCTGGGATCTGCGCAGTTACCACCATCTTGGTCTGCTGTAAAGTCAAAAGCTCGCCTTTCTGATTGGAGAAACACTCAAAAGCACATTCCGCACTGGTCATATGGGCGGAGACAGAATGCCTCGTCATTGGCACGCATGTCATCGTTGTCGTCTGAGAAGGATGGGCGCACCAATGAGGTGGCTTTGTGTCCCCGCCCATCCAGTAACCGCGGAATGTTTGTTCAAAAGAATCACTGGTCGTGCGCTGGCAGGTTCCGTTGACGAGCTGATATCCTTCAAGGCAAGATCCACATTCTGGCACGTCGTCGACGTCAATGTGACAAGTTCGGTTCTCCTTTTTGCAAAGACGTATCCATTCCGGTGTGCAGGTGGTGTTAGCCTCGCGTTTCATTGCTGGAACAAAATGAGGCCAGGTACAGGGGAGAATGCACCATCGATCGATAATTTTTGAGACAAACCGTTGCACTGTGTTCCGTCACCAGTGAATCCATGGACACATTTGCACCCACAGCTACCTGGCTGGTTAATGCACATGGCCATACTGTGACAGCCAGCTACACCTCGTTCGCATTCGTCAATATCTGGCAAAGAAATCGATAAATCAATAGAGTTTACTGGTATCTGGAAATAATTCGCGCCAGATGCCTCCAGCCACTCACCCACGCAGACGCCACCGGTGCCTTCATAGCCTTCGTAGCACTCGCATCTGAATCCTCCATCCTCGTTGACGCACGTGGACGAAGCCGGGTCGCAGTTGTGACGGTTCTCAGCGCACTCGTCGATGTCTACAGGGGAAATTTTAGAAATTTCGGAAATATTTCAATCGATAAAAAAACACGCCACGGCAGTGCAGTGAGTTTCGTCTACCTTCGCACTGTTGGGTAACGTTGTTGAAACGATAATTGGGTTCACATTCACAGACACTGCCCAATGAGCCGTTGAATAACCGAACGGACAGGCATGCGGAGTGTGATTCAAACTTCGTCCACAAGTTCGCTTTGCATGTCTTTACAGCCATGCTCCGAAGGATTTGCGCATGTCTTTACTCCATCACCTGCAACGGCAAGTTCTGTGACGGTATCCAGTACAGTAACCCTCTTTCAGCTATACCTTCGAAACCGTCGGGATTTGCTTCGATAGGGACCCGGTGAATGTGTTGCGGCAATTCGGCTTGCGGAGCGTGGCTCGATCATTCGGCATTCGTCGTTCCATCTGTGACCACAGGCGACATGCAGGAGATCTACTTCGAACAGTCACTACCTCGGCGTACTCGCCGGAGAGGCGAGGGTTACGGACTCGGTTGTTTGTGAGTACGGCTAGACAGTCTGCCAAGCTCACTGGACCACTTTGCCAGGTCAGTTGCCAGTTCACTGGACCACTTGCAGCGTCCACTGAACAGTTGCCGAGGCGTTAGAGAGCGTGCTGCACTAACGGTCTTGCTCGCTGCGACGTTGGAGCATTTCTGGGAGACTGGGCTTGCCGCGGTGCCGGCCTGTTCTCCATCAATTTTAGAAGCTGGCAGGCGACCACAATTGGTAAACGGCGCCAAACCTTAACCCCTCGTAGTGCCCTTCAAGCGCGAACAAGACGATCTTGGCCGCAAAAAACGCCGACGCACCTCACAGCGCTCTTTGGCAAGACCGGCAAATGTCGAGCACACTCCTAATGAAGTCCGTGGACGCTCTCCATCAGAAGCCGAGATATGTTAAAACTGTGCACATTGCATATCTCGAAGATGGGGAGGGCGTGGCCGCGTACCTCACTTGAAGGTGGCGTCGGCTGCCTTTTGGTGAGATATCACCGTTTTGGTGCCCGACAACATGATCATGTTTTCACCCAGCGCAGGAGAGCATGACAGTAGTCCCAAACGGAAATATCGCACGGAGAATGCTTTTTACGCCATCTTTAATCAAAGTATACAGGCCACGCCCATTTCTACTTTGGGATAGGGATGGTGATGCCAGATTCAATTCAAAACTAACCGTTTCACACCTGTAGCCAGTACTCCACGGAATCCCTTCCTTGCGCCTGACATGCGTACGATCCATCAGTGTTATCTGCCAGACGGCGTTCTTGTCGCACATGTTCAAGCCAGGCTTGACGCATTCGTTGATGTCTGAATTGAGGTTTTGCGGCTTTTGGTAGGAGTGCTCTCACTTAAGCATATCCCTGCAGTAAAACTCACCAACGCATTCTCCATTCTTCATCTCGAATCCCATTTTACACATGTCGCAGTCTTTTTCGCCATTGCTATCCACCATACACATATGGTTCCTACCACATTTAGCCTGAGCCCATTCAGCTTCGGTACAACCGCGTTTCTCAACTGGCATGCAGTTATAGCCGTCTCCGACAAATCCTGGAAGGAATTGTTACTTAGGATTCAAGAAAGATCTAACAGCCGAAGAGAACTCTCAGAGGCTCTAAGAAGAGCTGTTACCAACCGTCATTACAAATGCATCCATACGATCCTTCCTTATTGACGCAGGTCGCGTTTCCACTACAGCAACCCTCCATTAGCGACTCTGTGCCACTCCGTCGATATTCTGAACGGCATCGAGAATTGTGGGCTACTCTAAGCTTACCAGCGATTCTTCTCAAGATATAACTGTATTCCAGTAGGACCCATTCAAAGGGGGTGGGGGTCACTGGGGAAGTAGTATAGTGGCAGAAGGGAGCAGCTCGTTGAGGCATCCCCGTACCTAGAGGTCAGACATTCGCCTCTAGCGTTCGATTAGTAACCGTTTGATTAAGTTTCAAGTTCGTCCGCAAACCTTCCGCTGCTTTCTGTTTAATATGCTTGTGCCTTACGAGGTTGATAGGTGGAACACTTTATTCAATATGGCCTAACGTTTCGACTGAATCGTCGTCATCAGAGGCCTGAATGTGTTTCAAGGATTAGATTGCGCTCTACCCCACCAAGCGCCTCGTCAACTCTAGCGGTTCCGACATCGTGTCAGGAACCCCTCGAGAAACCCCGTCATCGCGAAAGTCAACTCACCGACGGTTCCACCTTATGCCGGGCAGCTGTCCGCTGCCACACAGAGCGCAGCGAGAATTAGTTGTAAATGAGGAATACTGCGCTGTCTCCGTATAATAAAATATTGCGGAGATGCACGTAGCGCTCTGTCATTCTACAGCTCGCAGTGTGGTATAAACGGCAGAAGGTCATTTGTTATTGCAGGACACTCATCTCGGCTGTTCATTCTGGGTTTTCTGGTGAAAATCCAGAACGCTTCTAATGCTTTTCTTGCAGAAATTTCCGTCTCATGTGCCAGCAATACGCACTTTATTTCGAACTCCACGCCATTATGTTGCTCAACTTTATGCCTTCCGAGAGCATGGTTGTTAGGTACCGGCCGCTCTCATACTAGCCAAGATGCGCGAACTGCCAAGACCCTTCCTGTTTCCCCAATATAAGTAGAGTTACATGCCTGGCACTGGATTTCATATATGACTCCCACTTGCATGCAGTCGCCAAGCTTCCCGTGCGGGCATGTAACGCAATTTTCAGATAAGCACTGCTTGTCGTAGAGTCGGTTGCGAACCAGTTGCCGTTTGATGCGGCAGTCGGCATCAAAAGAACATACTTGTAGCTATGAGACGCCGCGTACCCTAACAACAGCTCTCGGAAGGCATAAAGTTGAGCAACATAATGGCGTGGAGTTCGAAATAAAGTGCGTATTGCTGGCACATGAGACGGAAATTTCTGCAAGAAAAGCATTAGAAGCGTTCTGGATTTTCACCAGAAAACCCAGAATGAACAGCCGAGATGAGTGTCCTGCAATAACAAATGACCTTCTGCCGTTTATACCACACTGCGAGCTGTAGAATGACAGAGCGCTACGTGCGTCTCCGCAATATTTTATTATACGGAGACAGCGCAGTATTCCTCATTTACAACTAATTATCGCTCTTGTGTGGCAGCGGACACTGCCGCTTATAAGGTGGAACCGTCGGTGAGTTGACTTTCGCGATGACGGGGTTTCTCGAGGGGTTCCTGACACGATGTCGGAACCGCTAGAGTTGACGAGGCCGCTGGTGGGGTAGAGCGCAATCTAATCCTTGAAACACATTCAGGCCTCTGATGACGACGATTCAGTCGAAACGTTAGGCCATATTGAATAAAGTGTTCCACCTATCAACCTCGTAAGGCACAAGCATATTAAAACACTTACTACTAACATGCCGAGGTTGCAAGAAGAGAGAAGCTGGAGAATTCTTCCCTGGTTCTATTGGAAAGAAGGTGTGGCTCAAACAATGACTGATAACTGAGCTAGGTTCGGTGGAGTATGGGCGTTACTTCCGAGTTTACGACTCACGCCAACTAGCTAGGAAAGCGTGCGGTGCCGCACTCGGAAATAACGCGACTGTGGTCGTTGACGCTCTAAGGGTTGATTTAGGGAAGGGATAAGAGAGATGGCCCACTGGTCCTCCCAACTATCTGCTCTGATTATTCTCTCTGGCACAATGTTTTTTGGTTTTCCTACACTGAAAGGATTTTTTGGATGAAACTGAATGTTTTTTCAGGATTCATACACTTCCAAGACCCCGGGAAGTTATTGAGAGACGTGAACCACAATACAACTCATAACTGATCTCGGTAAGTAGCTCAGTCGTACTTCATGTACCTTCTAATTTTTTCAATTTTTTTATGATTTTTTGACGGGAATCCTCGATAGTGCACTCTGATCCAGACCTTTTCCCCCGGATTTTCCCTGTGAATTTCCATGGTTTGAGAAGCTTCTGTGAACTTACCGACACATACGCCTTTATCCATTTTTCTGTAACCCATCGGGCAGAAACAAGCGTATCCTCCAACGTAGTTGTGACATCTGGCAGTCTGGTCACATTTATGAAGGCCAGTAGCGCATTCATCCACATCTAAACATTTGAGAGGTTGAAAAATATATTCGCGAGTAGCGGCTGAATTTCCTTTTTAACCAGTGCTTACCTCTACATTCTCTTGAAGGTGGTGCTCCTTCAAATCCTGGATAGCAACGACATGCTCCAGTCCTTCTTTCGCAATACGCATCGTCTCCGCATTGGTCACTACTTGTGCACTTCGTTGTATTGCTAAAGGATGCCATCTCTTTGGACTCTCCGAAAATTTCTCTCAGCGGCAACGTGCGTTGATTCAATAATG